TGCTTCCTGAAGGCCAGAAGAAAGCAATAAAATATTGTTTGATGTGGAATAATGATATTGGAATACTTACAAACAGGGCAACTCAAAAAGGATGGTGAAGATAGGGTAAAGTTAGATGTATCTGACGTCATAAAAAATAGAAGCTCTTGTCCCCCCTCTCTCCCTGAGGAAACTTCTTACTATATAAATAAATTCAATCCTCTTTTCCAACCTTCTGTGCTACTTAGAGATGCTGACTAAGCTGTTTCAGCACTTTGATCTCCTGCCATGATCTGGCCCTGGCTCTGCTTTCATCCTCTTCAAAAGTATTCTCTCACAGCAGAGAATTTGGCCCTAAGGAAAAGAGTATGTGATTTTTTTTTAATTTTTTTTTTCCTTTCTCCATTATATACTGCCTAGATGGCTGTCTTTATTGAATGAATAAACTGGTAAATTATTCCCCGCAGATTTAGATTTTCAGCCACTAACACCAACATTGACTCTGTAACAATTTACCAACCACTGGAACCAAGTTCAATACTTCCCAGCAAAGGAAATCATTTAGGAGTTACTTTTTGGGACAGGTAACATTGGATGCAAGCCTGATGTATTCTATACGAAGTACAGCTTTTTGTGAAGGCTTGAGCTGTTTCAGTGCTGTTCAGACAGGGTGTCTTGCCTGGCTTTCAGCTCTCTTGCCCAAAAGGTCAGGGACTCTGGTAAATTCTGTGTCGTGTCTGCCAGCCTTCTGCTTTGCAGACACTGGTACGGATGTGTCTGCACTAGACATTGCTGAAAGTTGTTTGCCTTGTCCAAATCACTTTTACTCAGTCACTTACTTACATTTTAACACAAAGGGCATACTATGAGATTTATTACTTACTCTCCTTTGTGTACTCCACAGCTTAAATAAAGGTGCTGTCATAGGTGTTTATAGGGAAACTGAGGTAGATGGTACTCGTTAAGGAATTTAATATTCTTTTAGTCATTAAGCTTTCAGAGTCATATTTCCCTTTAAAGAAGATTTAATTTCTGCAAACAGATTTTTCTGTGCATGGCAAATATTGATCCAAACTAACATGGAGTGCATATCAACAAAACATTGAATGCTTCTATTGTTTCCCCTTGCGATCAAAACATGTTGAAATACTATCAAGAAACATGAAGTGAAACAGTATGAAGGCTTTGTGCATTTAACAAAGGGCATACTATGAGATTTATTACTTAGGAGACCTTACTCTCCTTTGTGTACTCCACAGCTTAAATAAAGGTGCTGTCATAGGTGTTTATAGGGAAACTGAGGTAGATGGTACTCGTTAAGGAATTTAATATTCTTTTAGTCATTAAGCTTTCAGAGTCATATTTCCCTTTAAAGAAGATTTAATTTCTGCAAACAGATTTTTCTGTGCATGGCAAATATTGATCCAAACTAACATGGAGTGCATATCAACAAAACATTGAATGCTTCTATTGTTTCCCCTTGCGATCAAAACATGTTGAAATACTATCAAGAAACATGAAGTGAAACAGTATGAAGGCTTTGTGCATTTATTTAAATTGTTTTTTGGGTTTTGTTTTTTGGTTTGTTTGTTTGTTTGTTTTTTTCCGGAGGAAATTATCATCATTACCCTCTCTATACAGGAGGGTTAAACATAGACAGAATACAATTCAGGTTTTCTGAAATTGTCTTGTCCTCTGTTCAACAGGACCTATAGCTTCCTTATGTTGGCATATTTTTGGATTTATAAAGATCATTGGAAGTGACCAGTATGTATGTGACAATTTATAGGTGGCCACCATAGCAATTTAAGCCTGTAGCTCCCAAACAAGTAACTTGTGTTGAAATGGAATGTAAACTTAGTGTTGCTACATTGAGCTAAGTCTAGGCTGTCCTGGTCTGATTTTATCCTGCTTTCATTGAGGGCTGTCTAGTAAAGACAACCACAAGTTAGACTTTGCGTATGTGTTCTTAATAGAAAAAAGAAGCCACATGTGTATTTTCTCATGCCATTGTATTCTGCTGCATTTTGTTACCCCATATAAATATTTTTTTTTTCATTGCATTACTGCCATCAAAGCTGTTAATCAAATCTGATTTGAATTAAATCTCCTTTCTTTTGTTTAACAGATGATGTCACTAATATTGCTCAGAAGTCCCTCCTTGCTGATGAAAAAAAGAACGTGCCAACAGGAGTAGGACCTGTGGTGTGGAAAGTCCCAGTACAAACATACCTAGTGACTTAGCTACTGGTGCTGCTTAGTCTTCACCTCTTTGAATTTGAAACGAATACAGCTGCTTCAGAATCCTGTGGACAAGAGAAAGGTACTGTGCTTTGCCAACATGTTGGCTGGGTAGGAAGACAAGAAATCTAAAATACAGATATGATGTTATCAATTTATTAGAGACAGCATCGTTTGAAGCTTTGAGTTTAATTTTTTGGGGAAGGGGATACCGAGACTTTAAACCCAACCGGATTTTGGTCAGTAAAATAACCCAAATCTGTACTGAGTTTTTATCTTTGCTTTAATGTGGTTCTCTTTACATGGGGCCTTTCTCTGTTCAGTGAATACATCTTCTGATGATATCAACAATTTCTTTCTCATGATTTCTTAAAAATTAATTTTGTAAGGCATTTCTTTCCCCCTGTAGAATCTGAAATGTGCAGTAAATAATGTTGCTCAGTGTCTTATGTTTGTCATATGCTTGCTAACTTGACCACTGTCTTACTGCAGCTACACCTGTCACCGTTAATAAAGAAGAAGGGCTTTAATTGCTTTGGTCTCAGTTGGATGCTAAACTGCTTTGACAGACTTTCCCAACCTTCTGTTGACTTTTATATGTTTATAGTGTACTTAAGTCTGGGTATTCAGAAGGCAGCTATATATGATATGCATAAAAAAATCCCACAATGTTTTGGTTGCTTCAAGAGACCATCTACTTCTATGGGGAAAAATATCAGTTTCCTCCTATTGGAGACCTATGGCAAGGATGACAGTTTAACACAATGCCTAATTCCTGGCTTTTTCATCTTGTAGTAGTCGGCAGTGGAACTGCAGTGATGATGTGGTTTTCTAGGATTAGGAGAACTGAGCAACCTCCTACCTTGTGTAACTGTCCTTACTGCATCAAAATGCCATTAGCCCCTAGAAATGATATTTGTATCTAGAAAGATGTTGAAAAGATCATTGAAGTGTGTCAGAAAATTATAGTGCAGAAAGAAAAGGAAAGCAGCAGTAACCCAGGAAGCGTCCTTTCCCAGCAGATATTTTGCAGTTAACATATTGAAATTGTTGCCTCTTTGCTCATGAATTCTGTGTTACGTTGAATATAGTGCACAGTGTACACTTTCCATTTCTGAATGGAAGAGTAAAGTATGACCCTAAGTAAGGCAAGTGGTATGAGAAATGACAGCTGTAGAGTGCGTGACCATTACTGAAAACTTCACAAAGAAGGAAAGAGTAAAGTAGAAAATGGAGGGTGCAGAACATGCCTTAGGGCCCCACTGGGTAGTATTTACTTGTCTTCTATGACACGCAAGTACAGCTAATAGTTCATTAGTATCTTTGATTTTAATGCTTCAGGGAATATCATTAAAGTTTAGTCATTATAAAGCAACATATAAAGAGAAAAAATACTTCAAAAATAATTTTGTATTCATTCATATAATTAATTTTTACTCTAGAGAAGGATTATGGTAACTAAATTTTTTTGTTGGCAACAGATAAACTAGTGTGACCCTAAATTCTCTTTTCTTTAACTGGGAGGGGCAGTTCAACGTTTACTTCTGAGTGGTTTTATCTCTTTATGGTAAATGCAAGAGGAGCTTGAGTCATCGATGTATCTAAAAAAAATCATCTTCATATTTACTTAATAATGACAGAATGATGCTGGTTATGAAAAGAATTAAAATGCTAAACTCTGAAACCGATTGTTGAATATTATAGCTTGGCTTCCCGCTAAGGTGAATGCAGTTTGATTTTTAAATCTCGAAGGAATGCTATTTAAAGGTGTTCCCCCGCCCACTTGTCCTTTAGCCTGTCCTGTTCCTGTACATCCAAACAGTTGAACATTGATTAACAAATTGATTTAGACTGAATATTTTATTTAGCTGACTCTGCGTACTGAAAAGGAAACGGTCAAAACATGAGTCTTCAACAATTAATGTGTTTTGGAAAGTGATTTTGTCGTGCAAATTATCCATAATGAGAGTTCCTATAACTTGGGACTACAAAAATCTGGACAAAGGAGAATCTTATAAAAATCTGGGCAGAGGGATTTCATTCTCTGGATTGCTTATGCCCATTTGTTCAATGTTACAGGAAAAAACTCTCTATTTGTTCCCTATTTGTCTTATCTGATTACTCATATTTCTTGCATATCTAGATCTTATTTATTTGGCTAAACTATTTCTGATATCTCCTTTATCTCCTCATCATGGAGGTGTAAACGATTTGTGCAGGAAAGGTGCTGTTACATAGTGCAGCTTTGCGCAGGCACTTTGCTTTAGAGAAAGACTGGCAGCTGCTCTGAAAAACTAGTATTGCTGCAATGTGTTGGGTATTGGGCCAGCCACATTTATTAAAATGTCTCTTTCTTTGTTTTGCTGACTGATCTGCCCAAATTGATACTTTTCCCTCTCTTTAAATTGCTGTAAATTTAATTTAGATAAACTTTGGTATTGCTCTTGTATTTCCATTTATTTTCTTAACATCCTTTTGAACAATCCAACTGTGCTGACTAATCCTCTCTACAAAAATTACTTATGCTCCCTGCCATGTGATTACAGATCCATTACTCTTCAAACACAGAAGTACTATAACACACTTGTGTCTGAAAAGCTTCTCTTGCTTGCAAATATAAGCAGGTAGTCCATTTGGGTAACTGATAGCTGGACTGTGGCTGGCAGAATTCCCACACGCGTTTTTACCGTTAGATAAGTGGGTGGCTGGTAATGGTCGTGTTGAGATAAGATAAACAACGTTTCCCTTAGTCATCTAAAAGTACTTCTCTGTGTGTTGGATGTTTGCAAGAGGTGTTGCAAAGGAAACTAAGCGAGCTTTTCTGATGCCTTGGAAAGGTCTCTCATATATCTAAGATTTGCTGTCCGATATTAAGCATAACAGATCTTCAGCCTATTATGAAGCTCCTTGTGTATTCATAAATGAGTATGAATGGGAAAAGAAGGTATGAACCAAGAGAAACCTATAGCCTATATGGTATGCATTCAATAAATAGTAGGAGAGACCACGAAGTTGGCAGTTTTGACAGTTCTCTAGGTTGTACTGTCCTTGAAATACCTGGTGCTTTTTTGTGATAAATGGGCTCTCTCAGGCTTCTGGTTGTCTTTCTAGCTTTTTGTTTATTTTTCTCCGCTCTTCCATTCAATTAATTTGTAACTTCAATAGCTCTGAACAATGTGTTATGAATATGAAGTAGCTTTGATAATATGATTTGATTATGACAGTATATGTGTGAGGGGAAAAAAAAGAAGCATGTTTTATGCATAGCATTGTATAAATGTTGATTTCCAGGAGCATAGTTTTGAAGGACACTAATTATCTCAACAACTGAAAGTTATCCTTTCTGAAGGAGACCCATCCTGTGCACATACACACATAATATATTTATACATATTTATGTTAGTGTATTATGAGGGTCTTTGTATTGCAAGTTAAGTAAAAACATATTTTTAAATGTGCCTTTAGGTGTTTCTGTATTATAATCAGCTCAGACAACAACAATCAATTTCATGGTGTTGCTCAATAGCTCAGTACTGCAGTTCTGCAATCAAGTTCTCTAGGGTGGCATAACGTATTATTTTGAGAAAACTGCTTTCTATCAGACTTTTGTTTAATTCATGGAGACCTTCCTGCTCCTCCCACTGCCTTGTGTGATCTTTTTGCACATCCTATATTTTACATAAAATTTTGAGTCAGTGTGCCTGAAAAATGGCACATACTGAAGCACTTCCATCTCCCAGCTGAGTTCACTTTCCAGTGAATACACTCTTTTGGGTGTGGATGGGGCTGAGTAGCATAAATATACTTCACCACTGCGGAAACGACAGAGTTCTGATTTTGTTGAAAAATTGCTTGCATCAGAGATGTTAATTTGAAGATACAGTATTAGCATAGGGTACTAGATTGTGTCATTTTCAGGTGCTCTCCTATGTTCTGTTTTACTTGCTTTCTGTAAGTATTTTGATCTTGAAAAAAACAGATTTTGTCACCTCCGAAGTCTGAAATGTATCTCACTGATTTGAATCTCTGTTATCCTCTTTACCTGAATTGTTTTTAGATGTTGAGCCACTGTTTACAGATTTTATCCAAACTAACAAGCAGATGTATTAAGCATTTATTGTCTGGGAAAAAAAACCAAAACAGAAGTTTTACTGGGTATTGAAAATTTATGATGTTTATCGTTACAGTGCCCTGCCCTAGGGACAGTACTGCTTCATGATCCAGGAAGAATTCTCTCTATTTATACTTTAGGAAAGGGTTATAAGAGAAGCTGGCAATTCAAGTTGGTTAAAGAGTATGACAGGCTAGTATGTCTGACAGGGATTCCTAAGTAGACAGAATTGTGGGTTTTGTAGGCGTGCTCTGAAGTCAGGACCATTAGGGATGCAAATCTGTACTTAGTCCTGAAGAAGACCAATAAGGAAAATGTTGAAGGGTGGAGGGGATCAAAATTAAATCCTTTGAATAGAAGAAAAGTTTAAATTTGATTAGTTGGCAACCCCTGAACACAGTGCTGTGCAGGCTTGATAAGGATCTTTGTCACAACCCTGCTAGCTTCTGCACTACTTCTTGCTATTAAAACCAAAGTTAGGGGAGGGAAATAAGTTCTGGTTGACTAATTTAAATTCTAGCTTAAATTTAAGAAATGCAAAGGGGAACCAGGTGTGGGAATATATTAAGATGTAAATAATCAGTGTCTGATCTGCAGCAGAGACTTTATTGCTTCATTGAGGGGCTTGCATTTCTGTATTGAGGAAATACATAATTGCCTTCTGGTTGTTTCAGACAAGAGTTTGAAGGGGGTGCGAAAGAATTATAGTACTTTTCTGTGCTTCTGAAACTTAACCTGGTCTTGTTTTGCTTTTGGGATCAGTTGCGCTTTATTCTGTCTGTTCAACTGTGGCAGTTTAATATTTCTGTGCTTTTCAGGAAACTGTGGAAAGCTGACTTCCCATCTTTCTCAAGTAAAATAACTTGTGTTAAACTGCTTGCAAGAGTGCAGTAGTAACAATTTCCTGCACAAGCATAATTTTATTTTTCCCCTGCCTTATATTTAGTGATATATATATATGAATGATTATTTTTTAAGTTAATAAAAGCTAATGAAAGAATGGGAGCTTGGAAAAGGGGTTATATTGCTGGTGGAGGGCAGCTTCCAAATGTGCTGGATGTTATTATAACCCAAGAAAAAAGAGAAATTTGGTAGTAGAAGGGAGGTAGAGAGTATTTGGGCATTTCAGTTAAATTTTAGATTGATCAGTGGAAGTTAAAAGTGGACCCTCTAGTCAGGACAGTGAAAGGAAACCCATTACCTACCTATTTACTGGTGAAGACCTGTATCTCTCAAAGGAAACATCTAGTAATTTCCTATCGTTAATCCCTTATAACATTGGCGATGTGTTAGTGAAGACCTCTATGGTTTGATATTTCAAGATTTCTACTGCTAAAAAAATAATAAATACTATATGTTTGTAACACAGCCATACGAATTGGTATTCCCAGGGAGAAGAAGGAACATGGTCACACTTAAGAGCTCCTGGTTGAGAAGCGGTGTTTGTGAGGAAAGAGCAGACAAACAGCAGATAGGATTTTTATTTAGGCTAGTGATAAGAAGTGGGCTATATCCCTGAGAAGATTAGCTCTCTTTCTTCCTTTATTAGAGCCTTCTTAAGCAGGCTCCATTCTGGTAGTCTGTTCCCCAGGGTATATGCCTTCCACCACCCCTACCTCCTCTTCTCCCCCCCCAACACCTTTCTGTTTTGAGAACAGTTAAGTGAGGTTTTGCTGTTGAAGTCACAGCCAGCACTCTAATTTTTGAGGCTTCTCTCTGCCACCTCTTTTAGACCATGAGGTAGGGAGAGGGACAGAACTGAATACTAAGATAAATTCATAGTAGAAATTATATGGATATGAATATATTTTTACACGACTGGATGCAAAGTTAGGATTGCTACTGTATCCTATTTACTTGATAATGCAACTTAATAAAAATTGTGTCCACAGTCAAAGATGATTTACAGAAGCTTTTAGACCCTGCAAAAAATGGCCTTTGCAGGGATCATGGGAAGAAGGAGGTTGTGTTCATAAAGAATGAAGCATAAACATCTTTCATTAAGCCACAAGGACTCCTGTAAACTTCAGATGACGCATCTTGGCCTCAACTTTAGCTAAAACACTGAACCATCTTTATGGTCTGCTCTCTGGAACTTTATAGTGAAACGAACACTTGATTTCCCAACAAAAGAAAAATATAGGTAAAAAGGATAACGATGTTTTTCTCTGAGTGAACAATAAATCACTTTTTAATTCCCCTAAATGACCAAAACAGCCTGACCTGCATTTGGCAGTTTGAGAGATACTGCTAGCAATGCTGTGCCCCACCTACGTTGGATACCCCTATAAACTGGATCTGCAACTTGCTTACTAGAAAGCTCAAAATTGCATATACAAGTAATCTCTGTTCTGTGTCTAACCATTCTTTCAAATTTAGGAAGCTTTATATATACATATATATATATTTGTGTGCATTCATCCATTTCTGAGCTTCAGAATACTTTGGAACAATCTAATCTCATAGTCTATAGTGGTCACTGTAAGTCTATTTGTCACAGACTGATTGTGGACTTTTGTATTTATAGCTAATTGCACGTTTCTCTCTTTTTAAGCTGAATTATAACTGAATATGTTTTTTGTTTTTTGTTTTTGTTTTAAATTCTGAGGGGTGCTATCCTTAAAATTACAATTCTGATACATGTATCTGGTAAAAGTATTTTCCTGCAAGTCTTCATGGCTACCACATTCATCTCTAAGCATCTTCAGAAAGCACATTTGTACTTTCTGATGGCCAACTTGCCAACATCCTTTCCAAAAAGCCTGGCATGGTTTGAATCAAATTTTCTGGCAGTTAGCAGAAGGGTATTTTATTGGTAATCTTCTCACGGTGGCAAAGCATTTTCAGTTTGTGGATATTGGAGGATGGTTACATAAAGAAAGTCTTTAGTTCACAAAGTTTCTCCTCTGTGCTTTTTTTGTGCTTTCCCGTGATTGTCTCTGTTCTGTTTAAGCTGAGAAAGAAATGAAAGTTTGTCTCCAGGCTCTTGCTGTGTTAGTATCTAGCGGTGCATTTTACTGGCTGTAGTTTTGAGCTGCTGCCCTTCTCCCTTTTGGAATTTAGAGTTGTGAGAGGAAAGAAGCTATTGTCTGGCCGAAATATCCAGTTTAAATGTTTTTTCTCCCAGGTGATGCAGTTGCATCTGCCAGTCACCAGAGTGACTTAAACTCTGTTCGCTGCAATGAACACTCACTCAAATATCAATACTTGAAATGCCAACATCAGCTGGCTGCTTGTCAGAGCACTGTTATGAGAAAGTTAACAGATCCTGTGAGGGAATTGCAGTTTTGTGGGACACTAAATTTGATGATTCCTGCCAACTAACAATTATAAACTCTTATAGGTTCTCATAAGCCTCATTTCTCATAACTCTTATTCATTTTCTCATATTTTAATATCCTCAGAATATCTTTCCGAGGTAGACAAGTGTAATGCCTGTGTTACTGAGAGATTAGGTGGTTTCGTCAAGGTTGTGTAAAGAATCTGTGACAGAACCACAGATGGAACCAAAATCCATCAAGCCTTAGCCTGTGTTGCCCATAACATAATCGGTATTATTATTATCCAGTTACATTTGAAATTAGAGTTGAATGTGGGGTGTCTTACTTCAAGAACATAGAAGTTAAACAGAAGTCCTTGATTAAGCAATCAAATATGAGTTTGAGGTCCTAAATTCTTGAGTGCATGTAGATACTTTTTGGGTATTCTGTGACTTTTCAAATTTAAGCAACAGCACTGCCAGCTCTGTAGTATATATATATTTATTTTGATCCCACAAACCATGGAACTTGGCTTTAAAAGTGGAGCATGATGACATCTTTGGAAAAAAAAAA